TATTCGGACTCGAGTCCGAATATAAATATGGGTTTTATCTATTCGGACTCGTGTCCGAAAAAAAGATTTTATTTATATTCAGACTCAGCTTCTAATGAGTTATAATGTGAATGTAAAGAGGTTACATTATATAGAGATTCTAAATGTCGTCGGGGGATTTTAAAATCAGAATTAGAACTAGAATTGCCTACTAGGACTGTGCAACTGTGTCAAGAGTTAAAAGACTGCATTCTCATTAGATCTACCCAATGGCAGTGTTTAAGTACACGGTAACTGATAACTCAGGGTCTTTCCCCACCACTATAGCATCATCATTACTTCCACCACCGTTTGTCTTTCCACATGTTAAATTTTATTTTGTTGTGTTATAGTTTTTAGTTTTTCTGTAATTATTTTTTTTTATCACATGGCACAAAACCGACAGCCATGGCCTCTTCCCCCAGCAAACCGAGAGTGCGAGACCGCTACGTGCAGTCTCATTGGTCGACATTAACTTTGCCCCCGGCAAGGTCAGCTCAACTTAGATCTAGTCGTTCTGTATACTAATGATGCAGGGAGGGCCAGTTTAAATATATCTAGATCTAGTAACTGGATAGTAAAGCTCACGTCTCTACTGTTATCATTATAATCGAAATAAAAGTTCGTAAATGCTGGAAATATTTAGGAACAAGGGTCAGAAGTTAGAACGGACATCATGCTGGACTCAATTCAGAGTCAAAATATAATTTTTCACTACCTATTCAGACTCGAGTCCGAATAGTCACTTTGTTTTTTGCAAATCCTTGACCTGATCTGAATCTGAGACTGCATTGGTGTCACTTGTTGTTGACTGTGGTCGTCTGCGTAGTTTTTGTCACTCTAATGCTAGAATCTAATTATATCTATAATTTTTTTAAATTAAAAATTTTTTTTTTACAGAAGTGACGTGAATCTAGATCTAGATTTCTGTTTGGACTCTGAATTGAGTCCAGCATGATGTCTGTTCTGACCCTTGTTCTTAATTCCAGCATTTATGAAAACATTTTCAATTATTGATAACAATCGAGACATGAGCTTTAATATCCAGGTACTAGATCCAGATCTATCTATTAATATCTTTTAAACTGGCCCTCCCTGCATAATTAGTGTATGAACAGAACAACCAAGTTGAGTTGACCTTGCCGAGGGCAAAGTTTATGTCGACCAATGAGATTGCGTGTAGAGATCTAGCGATCACGTACGCTCGGTTTGCTGGGGGAAGAGGCCATGCTGTTCTTTTTGTATGATGTGATTTAAAAAAAAAAAAGATCTAATTACAGTGGAGTCCTGTTTTAACGAGATGGAGGGGACCGGTGCGAAATGTCAGTTACAGCAGGATTGTCGTTATAAGGGATCCAGTAATAAATTAAAGGGAAATAGTAAAGTAGGCCTAATCTATGAGTTTGGTGTTCTGTTTATTCCTTTTTGTATTTCCTCTGATGATGATTTTGTTCAACATGATCTCCAGGTCTTACTTGATCAAAAATCGAATCAGGTTTCTTTCTCTAGCTCTAGCAATGTTGACAGCTTGGCGTTGGCGATCAGAAAGAAATGGCTCTGGCTCTAGGCTAACTCGCCGGCTGTGTTGTTCCCCACCCCACCACACCCTGAGGTGCATTGGTTCTGCTTGCGTACGTCACACATTCGCTCCATCCATCACCTGGATGTGACCTATCCATCCCGCACCAGAGAAGTGAGAGGCTCGGTATGCCTAGATAATCTAGACTGGACTGGCCTATCACGCGATGCGTTCTGCTTCGCTGTGCATGTCTCACCCTCCCCACTCATTCGCTCCGGCCTTCATTGTTGGTTCGCTTGGGCTCTCCCATTCTTTGTTTTGCTGGATCACCAACAACTTTCTCAACTGGCGAGGTTTTAATATGTTTAATTGGTCTGTGCGCTGAGCACAGCAGCAGCAATATTCCATTATAACTGACTCACGTGACTGTCTGATTGCGCAATAGCAGTATTTTATTTACAAAGATAAAGAAGGGAAAAAATGGGATTTTAGAATAGTGTCTTTATAGCAGACTTCTCGTTATTTCAGGACTCATTATAAGTGGATTCCACTGTATAGAAAAACTATAACACACAGCAAAATGAAATATGTGGAAAGACTTGGTGGTGGAAGTAATCGTGATGATGCTGTAGTGGTGGTGGAAAGACCCTGAGTTGTCGGTTACCATGTACTTACACACTGCCATTGGGCAATGAGAGTGCAGTCTTTTGACTTTTGACACAAATACACAGTCCTAGGTAATTTTAATTCTAATTCTAGTTTTATATAAAATCCCTCCGACGACAGTTATATTAAATTTATGTAACCTCATAACTCACTTAGAAGCTGAGTCCGAATAATAAAACATTTTTTTCAGACTCGAGTCCGAATAGATAAACCCCATATTCTGACTCGAGTCCGAATAGATAAAAAATGTAATCAGGCTCGAGTCCGAATTTAATAAAACTGGCCTTTTTTTTAGACCTGCCCTGCACTGTTTTGAGGTCTAAACTAGATTTTAGATTTAGATCTACCATATATAGGGAGCAGAGCTAGTTGTAACGGAGTACAAGTACAGTTTACGTTGCAATTTTCGGTACTTTTACTGTACCCCAGTACATTCTTGAGAACCAGTACTTTACTCTACTCCCATATTTTTTATAAAAGTACTTTTTAGTATTTTTAAAGTACATTTTGAGTACTTTTGAAGCTTAATGAAAGGGTAAGTGCCAGCATTTCTGATCATAATTTACGGAACAAACACCTGGGCGGGCACAGCCAATCAACCAAGAGTGAAAAGTTGAGATCAAAGAACGTCCCGTCGCGTCAAAGATCAGCTACTCTCGTGAATGTGATCACAAGCGTTGCAAAACTCCATGAAACGGTACAATGTTTGCCCCATACGGGATCACACCGAGGTGTGAGCTGATGGTTGCGTTTCTTTTCCCCAAACATCGCACTCGCGTCTGACCTAAACTTACATCACTCGCTGGGTGGGTAGGGGCTACAAATTCGCTCCAGGCAGGATCACATCGAACTGTGAACTCTTCCCTGACCATTGAAGGCAGTTTTTCTGTATTCCCGAATTTTGGAGACAGCCTGAATTTTAATTGGAGTGGTCACAATTTAATGGGTGGGTAACAACAAAGGCGGGGGGACCCAATCAGAGATCGAAAGCTAAAATTTTTTGACAGGTAAAGGGAGGGGCAACTGGATAAACGTAGATAAAGATCTCGGGACTCACGATAGGCTAATGAGTGTATATTTAGCAGTTTTCAAACCATCTATAAGTATCTTTTGGCACATTTCAACGTGTACTGCGTCAATTCAGTCTCCAGTTCCACTGTAAATACTTGACCGTAGCGATAGTTTGGACACAATTCAACATTACATTGAAAAGCTTTCTTCACATTGTTTTGAAGGGTAGTGCGAGCAATTCCGTGAAGGTATGTATTTTCCCTCAAAGGCGCTCTATTTCTGACAGCTACCACTGCGTTGTCCTTTGTATCAGGTAAGGCTGTGCCTATGCCGGTCTTCCTTTGATGCGTAGCATTGTCCCTAGAGATTGAACAGAAAAAATAAAAATAAAATCATTTAATGTGTGTCTTCAGGACGCTGGCTCATTCCAAAAGACTAGAAAGAAGCGGGTACACAGTGTCACACTAGAGCACTAGAGTATAAGACGGAATTTTATATATTTTGTATGAAGAAATGGGCCGTAATAAGCCTATATTTGTCGGTTACCCTTAAGATCAGTATTTACCCTTAAAAGAAAATGAGATAGAGGACAATTCTTAGAGAAATCTTAGGATGAAAACTGGCTCAGGTGAATGTTACGTTTTCATACCTAAAAATGCTGAATTTTTAATATAAAAGCCTCACATTTTATTGGTGGATATTTTCTGCCTAGTCCAGGTTCGGCAACCTTTTCACCACCAGCTTAGCTCATCTTGACTATGATTTGAAATATAGAAAGCTATTCATGGTGTTTGTAGTTCCAAGTTTTCAAGAGAATTGCTTCCCATATATAGATTACATTCATTATTTCAAAGACACAGTGGGTGACTCATAAGAGGAAAAACTGCTCTGAGCATATAAAGATGATTTTCTCTTTCTCAATAATATCGCTGTAGTCAGTCTTGGAGTGAGCAGGAGCCCCATAACAATACAATGTACGCGCAGAATATAATAGGGTGAGTTTCACTTTCCTTTTTTGGGTGCTTCGCTATCTTGACTGTCAATAAGGAAAATTGAGAAATGTAGAGGTTGCAATGAAAACGTTAATGAGAAATGAAAACATATCCGTTGAGATCACCGACACAGGAACATATTCATCTGAATGCCAGAAAAGTGGTTGGAGGGTGTTCATGAGAGTGTTTTTCCATTAAACTCATACCATCTCAAATACCACTATATATTATATATATATATATATATATATATATATATATATATATATATATATATATATATATACTGCCTATGATCAAAGATAGTACAACCTACGGTAGGATATAGTATCTTTGCAATGATTATGATGTTTTGCTCTGTTAAGTGTACCAAAACTGGTTCTTTCAACTCCAAGACTGTTATAGGCAGTTTTGTGGTGTCCATTCTTGAAGTTTGGTGTTTTTTTCCCCTTTCCTTCAAGTCTTAATCGTTTTTAAAATTCTGTATACACACATTCTAATCTGTTTATTGTTACTTGCTTTGTTCTTTTCAAATCACTGCCAAGTAATATGTGTAGATTCTAAAATTTCTGTATGTAAAAGAAAAGTCCTGTACTTTTGTCTTAGTTTAACACTATGTTCCATGAATTTATGATTTGTCTAAGTGGCGTTTATTCTTAACAAACACGAAATGTACAGCAATAGATTTTTCTCGTTGTATTTTGTTAGGCATTGCACTTTTTTTGTTTAATTTCCTAGTCCATTTTTCTGATTTAGTTTTTAATTTGTATACTGTTTTCTCTCTTGGAATTTAGGATTCTCTTATCAATTATGGCTATCTAAGTCAAAGTGGCTGGGGCCGTCTCAAGGCCCATAGCCGCAGATGCGTGAGAGTGAACTCAAGACTCAAAATACTCGCCTCTGCCATCGTTTAGACTGATTTTGATCTGTGTGTCAGCATTGTCGGATTATAAGTGGAGGTCATCATGCCGTTCCTACTGTTAGAGAAAGAATGTGGACCAAAGTGCCGCTCTCGGAAACACGTTCAAGAGATCAACTCTGTGATCATCTATGGGAACCTCACAGAGTTCAAGGCTGTCACTAGTCTTTGTCACAACTGGGCTCGTCACTCTGACTTGTATGGTCGGACTGCCCTCCACATGGCTGCTTCGTGTGGGAAGGTGGACATCCTGGAGTGGTTGTTAGAGGAGAAGAAAGGAGATTTGTCTACAAAAGACTTTGAGTCTGGATACACAGCAGTACATCGAGCTCTCTTTTATGGTCAGCTGGCTTGTGCTCGGTTGCTAACACAGGTAATGTTTCCATCTTTACTAAATTATTATTAATATAATAGGCTAATATATAAATATATAACTGTGACATTCTTAGCATTTGTATCCGTTAATTTCTTTTATTCATATGATCACTTTGTCGGTGGTTGGCGGGTTCTCTGAAGTGATTTATTCCGTCTTTTCTATCAAGCGTCTATTGTCCTTATTTTTCCTCCTTATTTTTAGTGAAGTCCACTTCTAACAAGTCCTGAAATAATGAGAAGTCTTTTTATAAAGACACTATTCTTAAACCCCATTTTTTCCCTTCTTTATCTTTGTAAATAAAATACTGCTATAGCGCAATCAGACAGACACACAAGTCGGTTATAGTGGAATATTGTTGCTGCTGTGCACAGCGCATATTATAAGGCCTTGCCAGTTGAGAAATTTGTCAGTGATCTAGCGATGCTAAGAATGGGAGAGACCACGTGTGCCAACAATGAAGGCCAGAGCGAATGAGTGGAGAGGGTGTGGCATGCGTAGACAAGCATAACGCATTGCATTATAGGCCAGCCTAGTCTAGATACAGTCGACTACGCTTGTAGCGATGTCGTTGGGGGACCAGAAAAAAGATTGCTATATCAGAAGTTCTCAACACCTGTTGGAAGAAAAATTCAAGGGAAATAATCCCGGTACTGCCAACCACTTTAATATTTAAAGATCGGGCACTGTACCATATGACCTGTGAGGAATTGAGGACTGAAAACAATGGCGTAGTGAGGGCAAGATTTATCGTTTTCGGAAGGGACCCTATATCTTTTAAAGCAAAAACAGGTTTTACAAACGAGTGAAAAGTGGAACACTTACACATGTACTGTCTAGTTTGTAATTTTGAGTTCCAAAATTCACTGTGCAACCTGTAGATTGGAATCATGGTTTTAAATTGCTATGTTTTTGGGTGCAACAACAGAAAAAACAGGGTAGAAGTAGTAAAAATAAGATCTACAGAGCGGTAAAAAAATTCGTAACGTGGAAAATGAGTTTGTTCACTGCGCTCCCCGCTTCACACACACATTTTGCATACGCATATATGGCCTACGTCATTTTTTTAGTAGCAAAACTTGTTACAAGAAATTGGTTTTATAGCGAACATGTTTTTTCACTAAAATGTTCTCAAAACATGTGTTCAATAAGCTTTATGTCGCCATTAGAAAAAAAGGATGGACTTGCTTTTAAAAGAGTATATCATATTGTTCCAGCTGTAAACTTTTAAAAATATGTTTTAAAATTAGTATATTTGTGAAAGAATTTTCTGGAATAATGTGTACAGATGTTTGAAAAAAATATTTATCTGTTAAGACAAATTGTGATATATAGATTTAAGTTATTGTTCAAAAGTTGCAGAATCTATGTTTGATAGTTCAGGAGATATTTATAATAAGTTGCGCCACAAATTTTTGACGGCACTGCAGTAGAGTTACAGTATCATTTTCATCAGAAAAATTAGTTTTCGCATCCATACACCTCTTTGGGCCTTTATAAGTACATGTACTTTGTTACTTTCATAATTGTGTTTGAAAGCATTTTCAATTCCTTTCACTTTCCAGGCGTGGGCACATATTATGATTACAATTAAAGATTTCAGATCTGACAAATGTATTTATTAAAGTGTATAGTGCAGGGTTAGCCAATGCATTGCAATGCACGCTATTATCAATTATAGAATTGTAACAGGACTTCGATTTGCGATTTGATCCGTCACAAGAGACCACTTATTTTTTCTTATACGTGTTCATGTATCTGTGTTTGTTTATTATTGTGTGCGGGGATTACAGGGGGACAAGCCTCCATCCCCTCGACATGTGAACTCAAGAGTATTGGGATACATTTTTCTCAAAATGCACACAGCTCTGAAATCCTTGACCAGTGATCACTCGCCATGGAACTCTCTCTGTTGTGGCTGAAGACATAAGTTTCTTCATTATCACTTTTATCTGAATGAGCCTATGATTCATGCATTAGAATATACCACACTCTCAACACACACACACACACACACAAATGAGTTTGAACATAATATTCAGGAAACATACCAGTACCACCACTCTTGTTTACTTTGTTTTGCATTATTGGTTTTTTTGTGTAAAACAATATTTGAGGCCTTTTCTGCTTTTTTGTGTTTTTGGCAGCATGTACAATATGTATTTTATGTGCAAGCAACTCATTCTCTAATCTCTTGTATTTGTTAGTCTCGCTTGTACGAGGGCTGTCCCACGGAAAACCGGAATTTAGCTGTAATTTGAAAACTATTCCATATTTTCACATTCTGTAAACGCACACTTGTAAAACAATCATTTAGAAATTTCACAAATTGAGCACCATGAGCATCACACTAACTAAACGAACACAGCAGTTCTCAAAACATGGCTGCCCTCTTGGAAAATTGGTCAAGGGTAGAAGTGAGGTCTGTCATTCGGTTTCTGACTGTAAAAGGTATCAAACCTATAAAAATACACACTGAAATAAGGTCAGTTTACGGGGAGAAAGTAATGGCAAAGTCGCAGGTATATTATGAGTGGTGTAGTAAGTTCAAAGCCGGGCATACGGATGTCAATGACAAAGTTCACCCAGGACCTTGTTTTTCTGCCAAGACTGAGGACAACAAGAGTCGCGTTAACGAACTCATTCAAACAGAAAGGCGCCTAAAAAATCGCAAAATTTCCGAGTCGCTAAACATTTCAAAGTCGACTGTCCATAGGATAGTGTTTGATGAGCTGCACTATCGAAAGGTCTCTGCTCGATGGGTCCCAAAAGAGCTGACAGCTGACCACATGACGCAACATGTTGAAGTGTCTCAGACTTTGTTGAATCATTGTCGCCAAGCTGTCATGGGAGTCATGAACACACCTGGAGACCTCCAACAATACGATTAAGATTTCCTGAGAAGTATTATTACCGGTGGTGAGACTTGGATACTCCACATGACCCCTGAGACGAAGAGGGATTCAATGGTTTGGAAGCACATTGTCTTCACCTCCCCCGAAAAAGTTTAAAGTTCAACTATCGGTGAAGAAACTCATGGCCACGGTTCCTGGGATCCTATGGGTGTTCTGGTTCTTGACAGTCTAGAACCAGGACAAACTGTTAATGTTAACAGATACTGCCAGAATCGTCATAAGTTGAGAGAGGTTGTGCGCCGAAAAAGACAGGCCGGTTATCCAGCGGGGTCATTTTGCAGCATGACAACACAACGCTACACCACACACCGCAAACGCTACGACAGACTGAATCCAAAGGTTTGGCTGGGAAGTTCTGCCACACCCCCCTCACAGTTTTGGCTTGGCCCCGTCAGCTTATCACCCTTTTGGACCAAAGAAACGCCATATTTCTGGACAGCAATTTTCCGATGACGAAGACCTCGTGGAAGCCATGACAGATTGGTTGAAATCCCTTGACGAAAAATTCTTCAGGGAGAGTATCTTCTCCCTGATCCAGCGTTGGATAAAATGCATCCAGCGGGAAGGTGATTACATTGAGAAATAAAGCACATGTTGAGGTATGATGTGTTACATTTTTATTAAAATTGGACAAAGATAGTTGATTTTATGGACCTTTTCCGGTTTTCCGTGGGACAACCCTCGTACTTTAAACAAAGCATGTTGTACACACTACATTTCACTGATGTAAACTCAGAAATGAATTCTTAAAGTGAGAAACAATACATTTCCTCAATATAAGCTCAATGACAATTTATTGATCTCTTTCTAGTAAATTGGAGAAAAGGCCTTTATTCTTTTTCCCTGCTGTGGGTGGCCTTACGTTTAATGACAAGTAATTGTAGTGAGCATGTTAGTGTCAGCGTTCCTTTTATCATAGTACTAATCAAGACTATATCTAGATATTTTGCCAACAGAATTAATGTTAATAAAAATTAAACTATTGTTATTATCAAGTGTATTTTGAGTGTGTATCTAGATCTAGATCCCCATCCGATCACTAAAAACAAAACAAACCAACAACACAGAAACTTTGTAACATTGCCAATTTTTACAGTCTAGAATTCCAAAATCGATAAGAGTAGGCTTCGGATGCCACCATGGCAAAATTCAAAAATCTCTACCATACTGAAAATGTTTACTGTGCCCCGCGCACTTATATGACCGTAGCCTTATGCAGTTGCGAGCGCTGTAGCCACTTGCGGCCAAAAAAATATTTTAAAATGTATATACAGTCGAACCTGCCGTTACGGCCACTGTACAAATGGCCACTTTCCATTTCCCCCCTTGCATTTTTTCTATTAAATTTAACTGTGTAAAACGGGCACCTGTCCAACATGGCCACGGCCTCCATATTTTAACACTCAACCCCTATCATCCCAAACAATAACAAACCTGTCTTAGACGGTCACCTTAGTGACTCCATTTCGTTTCGTCATAAATCATGCATTGGCATCTGGCGTTGTGGGTGAGCCGTCATAATCCAATCACCTGTCGTTGTTGTTAGGTAGTCCCTCCAACCGATCATGTTGTGTAGGCCCCTCCCTCTGTTGACCAATAGGTAACAAATTTTTAACTGCTGGTGAGGTAAGCCGCCGTAAGCGTGTGATCCCTCATAACCCTTAAGCCCCGCCCAGAACTCATATACAAATCGTAAGTGAGATGAGAGTGGTCTCTGTTTTCCCAGTCTCTAACAAAGTAACAATGGACGTCAACACGAACTTGTGACAGAAGCGTCGCTCGTTCTCCAAGTGGTGGCGACCCATGTGTTTGTTTTACTATAGCACTCGGTCCTCCTTGTCAGACACATTTTGTTTTATTGTCACCCTTGCACAAAAGCCGCAACAAAATAAAAAAAACCCAGCGAAAACAACAATAACAATAACAACAGTTAGGACAACAACAAAAATGCGGTTATCTTCTGTTGAGACCTCAGAAAGGAATGGTTTGTTTTCTTCATCTTGATCAGTCCTGCCTAAGACGGCCACCTGTCTTATATGGCCACTTTTCTCCTTGACAATGGGTGGCCGTCTTACACGGGTTCGACTGTATATATATATGTATATATATATATCTTGACTTTTTTGATTTTTGTTACCACCTCAGTTAATTTTATACATACATGTATTATGAAGAAGTGTTGCAGGAGATATATGAACAAAGTAAAATTTGAGGGTGATTGGAAGGTGCTGTTGTGATAGGTCAAAATTTTTAATCAGCTGTTGGTTTTTTTAATGTTTGCTATTCAACACTTTTTCTTTTGCATATCAATAAATAGCACCAATAATAATTTCTTGGAATTTATTTCTGCTTTAAATGTGCAACTTTGGACTCTGTTTAAAAATTTTTTTTTTTACAACAATTGTATAGATCTTTGTTGTTCAGATGTGAACTTGTTTTTTTTTCCCTCTGTATCATTTTGCCCCTAGTTTGGCTGTGATTTGCAAATGAGGGACACAGAAGGATTAAGTCCACTTGACCTTGCCACAGCTGACCGACCAGCTCATATCACATTTTCTCTTAAAGGTAATTTTTGTTATTAAGATTGATTGATTTTGACTTTAATTCTTGAATTATGTGAATATGATATTGGCCCTTGGTAGTTAAATGGTGTCCATTGTGTATGATACCACCTTCAAGCAAGTACAACATTTTAAATATCATCAGATGGTAGATGTCACACCGAAATTAAAAGCCGCATTTGCCAAGCAAAAGCATCCTTCCACAAGATGAAACAGATACTGACAAACCTCAATCTGCCACTGGAAACGAGGAAAAGAGTACTGAAAAGTTACATCAAGCCAATCCTATTATACGGGTGCGAAGCGTGGACAATCAATAAACAGCTGGAAAGAACAATTGTAGCGACAGAGTTGTGGTTCATAAGACGCATGCTACGTTTCCCGTGGACAGCTAGAAAAACAAATGAAGAAGTCCTGGTTGAAGCAAATTATAGAAAACAACTTATCACGAATATAAGAAAACGACAGGCAAATTTCTTCGGACACACAATGCGGAAAGAAACATTAGAGAATATTGTAACAACAGGAAAGTTTGATGGAAAGAGAGGCAGAGGCAGACAGAGGGAAAAGATTCTGGACAAGATGACAACATGGCTGGGAGCAGCAAGAACAACAGACACCATTGCTGCATCGAAAGACAGACGAAAGTGGAGGTCCATGATCGCCCACGCCAGTCAGCAAGGCACCGGATGATGATGATGATGATTGTGTATGTCCCACCAGCTGATAGAGATCCAGAGTTCTTTTTGTTTTGTCTCTTTGAAAGACTGAATAAAAAGTTTTGAATATCAAAAAAGATTAAAAACTTTAATCTGTTCATGTTCAGTTTGCAAAGCTGCCAATCAGTTTGTAAAAAACGTATTTTGCATGTTTTTGAGGATCCATGTACGTTAATACATTTTTGTGTAAGAACAGACACATTATTCTTTGTTTTCTAGTATTGCTCTTCACAGACTTGCTAATGCTAAAGAAAAATTATGAAGTTTCAAAACAGGATTTGGGAAAAATAATAAGAATATACAAATGCCAAGTCTGTGCTCCTCTACGGCAGCGAAACCTGGAAGACAACAAAGACAGTATTGAATAAAGTCTAGACTTTCATCAACAGATGTGTGAGGAGTATTCTGAGAATTAATTAAGTGGCAGGATAGAATAAGAAATGAAGAGCTGTGGGAAAGGACAGGACAAAAGGATATTGGATATAGAAGTAGAAATAGGACTGAGAAAGTGACGATGGATGGGACACACCTTAAGAAAGCCCAACGGAAACATCACAAGACAGTCACTGCAGTGGAACCCACAGGGAGCACGAGGCAGGGGTAGGCCACGGGAAACATGGAGGAGATGCGTGGAAAGGAACATGAGAGAGATGAAGCTCACTTGGAACAAGCTTGGAAGGATGGCCCAGGACAGAGATAAATGGAAGGAGCTTGTATGTGGCCCTTTCCCTGCCAGGGGTGAAAGGCATTGATGATGATGTTTGCTCCTCACGGACTTGCTAATGCTAAAGAAAAATTATGAACTTTGAAAACAGGATTTGGGAAAAATAATGCCCATATATGTCAGTTTTGAGTGGCCTTTACTAATTATTTCTGACATTATTGTTGCAGGTTTGCTTGGAATAATTTGAATTAATTGCAGGCAGAAAAATGTTTGAATGGTTTGGAGTGGGTAGCTTGGCCAGTGCCTGTCATCCTGACCTGCCGCATACATAGAGTCTGTTGTTTGGTGTTGAAAAATTGAGCTATGAGTCTTTGAGTTTTTAAGCAAATGTGAAATCTGATCTCTGCTAAGTTTGATTTGATTTTATTCTTTTCAGTTTTGGGTCTTATCTGTACTTATGGAAACAACCCTATTCGCAACATACTACTCCCCCGATGTGCTGGTATCAGGATGTTTAATGATGTTTTTCATGGTAAATGATCTCAGATAATATTTATTTACCAATGCACTGAGATATGTATATGCCTATATGCACAAATTGCCCTGATAAAATACGACACCTGCACTGAAATTTTATGAGTAATTTCCCCTTAGAAAATATGACAACTGTTTGACTATGTTCACAGAACCTAATGAGGTCTACACTTGGGGTGAGAACAACAACAGTACCCTTGGACACCCAAGTCCTCATAAGAGGCTCTCACCAGAGGCGGTGGACATTTTCAAGAAATCTGGTATTTCTGTCAAACAGGTCAGCTGATAGTGGGCTCAGATTTCAGTCTTTATTGAATGATCCTGCATTGATTTATTATCTGCAATTTATTATATATTGTCAGGAATTTTTTTTTTCAAATGGTGTTCTTATGCCCAATCTTGGATGAGAGGAATTCTCATCACTGGGGAATGGCACTCAGGTCTCCTGTATGTGACAGCATAAAACGTAACCGTTACACCACAGACACTGCTTCAAGAAGTTTGATATTGTTTATTATAGTATGAGGAGAGTGAACTTATTCCCCCCCCCATCCCTAAATGATGGGCTTGTCTTTAGACCTTGAATTTGGAACTGAGTGTTCCAATTGACAAGATCTTGAATATTAATGTCATCATCATTGCCTTTCTCACCGTGGATCAGGATATAGGCCACGAACAAACACTTTCCACCTTTCCCTAGCCTGGGCTAGTCGCTTGATGTCACTCCATGTCTTTCCACTTTTCTGTACATCTATTTCCGTGACTCTTCTCCAGGTTCCCCGTGGTCTTCCCCTTGATCTTTTACCCTGTGGGTTCCAATCTAACACTTTTCTTGTTATGTAGCTGCTTGACTTCCTTAAAGTGTGTCCAATCCATCGCCAACGCCTTCTTCCTACCTCATCTCTGACTGGGCTCTGTCTCGTTCTTCTTAATACTTCCTCGTTGGTGATCCTGTCCATCCATCTGATCCTCAGTAACTTCCTCAGACACTTGTTCAAGAGAACCTGGATCCTCTTTATGCAGGTCTGAGATGTGTTCCATGTCTCACATCTATACAACAAGACTGACTTCACATTTGAGTTGAAAATCCTCAGCTTTGTTTATAGTGAGATATCCCTTGTCCTCCAAATCCTGTTCAAAGAAATACAGTCAGACCTGTGTAAGACGGCCACTCATTGTCAAGGAGAAAATGGCTGTTTAACTCACTTGCGACTGGGCCCTTTCACCAGTCACAAGCGTTGAAGACTGGCGTTTTTGGGGGTATTTCAATAAATCACCACAACTCTCAGAATTACCCTATTGTAATCATTTTTTGACACGGTAAAGTAACATTCAAGCTTAATCTAATACAAAAAACTAAAGTTGTCTGAGTCTAATACTTTAATTTGTATGATTTTTTAAAAATTGGCATGAATTTGATTTTCCGAAAAATTTCCAGAGACGTGACAAGTAGAATGAAATTCACTGCAACTACAAAAATAAAAGTTCAAAGTGTTCTGGTTTGATTTGTATACATGTGCGAGTGTTTGGTGAAAATATAAAAGCTGGTCTGTGCATTGATTCAGACCCATACACTGAATTACATGAGACAGATGTATGGCACGACGTTGTGATTTCGTTGCGTGAAAAACAACACCGGTACTAGTGCTAGATCTAGCCCTGGAACTATGACTCGGGCCGTGTTCGGGTACATATCCAGGATCCTAACTATTAGACACATCATATTCTGAGACACTAGAACTAGTAAAACGCACAGAAGTATAGCAAACGGCGAAATTATGTGATTCTTGTTCATGCGACTTCTTCGACCGTTACTACGACGCGACTGTCGGATTACTATCAGCTGTATCGAAAAAAACAAAGCACGAGTTCCGGTCTGTTCAACCCCAGTTGGGGTCAGTGTCCTTCACCTTCAATAACTTAAAAACTACCGGCCCCAGAGATACGAAACGAAGTCTAAGTAGCTCAGGCTTGGCCTAACAAGGGTACGAGGCGGGTCTCGCGATCCGTGCGTGATTTGTAGAGCGGAAAAAAAATTCCAAAGTTGGTCACGCAGGGCTTGTGAGACCCGTCGCGAGCGTCGCGGCGGGGGTCACGCAACTGTTGTGTGACCCGTCTGAAGTGAGATAAGACAGGTGGCCGTCTTAGGCAGGACTGATCAAGATGAAGAAAACAAATCATTCCCATCTGAGGTCCCAATCGAAAGTAGCCGCATTGTTGTTGTTTTTGTTGTTGTTGTCGTTTTTGTTGGTTTGTTTTTTCTTTGTAATTTTTATTTTGTTGCTGATTTTGCACAATGGTGACAATAAAACAAAATGTTTCAGACGAGGAAGACCGAGTGCCATGTTAAAACAAACACATGGGTCGCCACCTCTCGTTCTAGTTGACGTCCTTTGTTACTTTGTCACTGACTGGGTAAACAGTGACCACTCATCTCACGATTTGTAAGTTCTGGGCGGGGCTTATGGGTTATGAGGGATCACACGCTTACCTCATCACTCATCAGCAGCTGAAAATTGGTAGCTATTGGTCAACAGTGGGAGGGGCCTACGCAACATGATCGGTTGGAGGGACTACCTGACAACAACGACAGGTGATTGAATTATGACGGCTCGCCCACAATACCAGGGGCCAATGCACAATTTATGACAAAACGTAATTGAGTCACTAAGTTGGCCGTCTAAGACAGGTGTTATTGCTTAGTGTGATAGGGGTTTGTGTGTTAAATTATGGTGGCCGCGGCCGCGTTGTACAGGTGCCCGTTTTACACAGTTAAATTATATAGGAAAAACGCAAAGGGGGGAAATGGAAAGTGGCCATTTGTACAGGTGGCCGTCTTATAGAGATAGATGGCCGTCAGGGCAGATTTGACTGTAAGTGCAGTCTGTCCCTTCCCAATGCGGGACTTTATTTCAGTGCTGTTCCTCCCTTTCTGTCAATTATACTCCCAAGATAGCAGAAGGATTCGACATCTTCTAGTGCACTTCCCACTATTGCGACCTGCTCTTTCGAAGTGCATCTATCCTTAAAACTTTTGACTTGAATATAAATGTACATCAAGAATATGTGGGAAGATTATGAAGTAGTATGCGCTCTGTATGTTGAATGTCAGCAATTTGTTGTTTCTTTTCTAGGGGTACTAGTACACTTTCTATGCTATTTAATAATTCTGATTACCTGAGGCTTTTTCCACATGGGCAAAGTGTACTCTTTGTACATTATTTCATCTTGCAATGTTGTTTTTCAGTAATGATCTCTAAATATTATTCCTTTTAATTCTCAATTTGTGTTGAATTTTGCTCTCATATATTTTTGTTGTTGTTTTATCTTTTATTTTTCTTTATATATGTAAAGTAATTTATTTAGAACTACGCAGAATAGGACAAATGTCAACATATCTTAGCTTTGATTTCATCAAAACCCTCATCTCTTTTTTTGTCCTTTCACGTCTAGACTACTGCAATTCTTTGTTTGGAAACCTTCCCACTGAAATGTTAAATAGGTTACAGCGACTCCAGAACCAAGCTGCTCTCATAATTTTAAAGAAATCTCTCAAAGAGCATATAACACCAATGCTAATTCAACTACATTGGCTCCCGGTGAAAGCACGAATTCAGTACAAAATAATTTTTCTTTGTTAAAAATGCGTCAACAACATTGCACCATCATATCTTTGTGACATGGTCATTGAAGACTTTTAAGACCTGTCCAAAGCAAAAGTCAGAGACTCGGAAGGAGAGCTTTTTCACGCCACCCCCCCCCCCCACCCCCCCCTGTAGAACGCTTTACCAGGTCATCTACTGGAGTCTACCACTTTATCAAAATTTAAATCAGCACTTAAAACGCATTTGTTTCAGTCCAGCTTCAATCTGAAATTTCCGACATTCCCAATACAAATATTATTATGTTCTCTCAATATCGTTCTTTCATGCTGTTTTGTTCTGTAGGAATTTATGACTGTGTGAATTCATCAATGTGTGTGAGGGTGTCTTGGTAAGCTTTGTGGGATTGCCTTTACTCAAGGATGTACTGGAGAGAGAGAGAGAGAGGGAGGGAGGGAGGGAGGGAGGGAGGTGCGCTGCATATGTTCTTTGTATTATTGTACAGCGCATTGAGCACTTTTTTGTGGAAGTGTGCGATATAAATGCAATTTATTATTATTATTGTTATAAGTTGCTTCCAATAACATTGCTTGTGATTATAGAAAGCTGTTGATGTATGCAAATAGTCGCAATTGTTATGAAAAATTCTATGTGCTTTGTTCTCACACATCTTTGAAATTTGCATCCTTCACATGCTGGGACACATCGCTTGTAGATCCTGTTGTGCAAATACCACAGCGTGTTCTTGTCACAGCCTGGTCAGGTGTACACGTGTGGACACGGGCAAGGAGGCCGACTAGGCCATGAGGACCAGCACACCGTCTTAGTAAGTAGGCTTGACTGCCCTTTTTCGGTTACCCAGAAACTCATGTTTGTCACATTTCTTGGCTTCAGTACTATGGTATCAGGGAAAAGTTTGCCCAATCTGATAAAACATAAGGATGTAAAAAGTAAATTTGCCTTTCTCACAAAAGCAACTTGCTGTAGTTACTCTCAAATTCTTGTAAATGGTTGAATCTTATGTATTTTTTTTCCCATGACGTCCTTAGAAATAATCTTTCCACGTGTTGATGTCTTTGTGCAATGAACAACATCAATTTATCATTCATTCTTAAATTCTAAATCCAATTCAGAATAAGAAGACTGTAATTGGTTTGGATGCTGGTGTGGTTTGTTTTTTACAGCCATTATTATTCAGTGTCAGTGTTGTCCCCATCAGACCTCTGTCAATATTAAGGGTTATCATGCTGATGTGCCATACGCAGCTCCACATGTAGAAGAAATTTGTATAATGTTCTTTGAGCATGTTCCTCCCAATTTTTTTTAGGCACTTTATAGAAATCTGTGCTTCCCAACTGTTACTTCTTGCTACTTGGGTCTTGGAAACAGCAAATTTGAACTTGAATCGGGAACTCAGGAATCTTGTTTTGGGTTGAACATAACCAAACAATTTATTTTTTGTGAATATTTATGCAAAAAGAACAATATCTACACAACAGGTTAGAGCATTTACATGTTGCAGAATACATGCCTTCACGATAATTGACACTCACACGTCTCAGTCGTTCTCACGTAGAACATTACAGCACCAACCTACTGGTACACGTTGGCAAAGATATAAAACACAAACGTGATATATTATAATCATGAAAATGACAAAAACCAAACGTGGAAGTGTTTCTTCAAAAGGGAACAACTTATTAACTTATGTCCTGTTAAAGGAATGAATTACAAGCTGGTCTAATTATTTCCTTTACATAGCACCTCCCCTTCAGTCTGAAGGTATCTGGAGACTAAAGTGTTTCCAGAAGCAATCACAACCTGAGAAATGTCAAAGTTCACAATATTAATATGTCCATGTCACTGCTGGTGATGTTCGTGTCGAGGGCGAAGTTGATCTTCATGTCGTCTTTACATCGGGCCGTCTGGTAACACACAGACCTTAAAGAGTTTGTGACCCAGGAAGGCGGTCACCACAGCTGGTTTCCATCTGTCCTTACGCCCACCTTTGTAGGAACTGCTGAGACGACGAGCAGGCTCCGGCTCATCTCGAACTCGGGGTGTAGTCTGCCTTTGTGCTGGGATGATGACCTCGAGCTTCGTACGGATCTGACATCCATTCTGGAGCTCACTGGGACTGCTACCACTGGCCAGGAGTGTGTGGCGGTAATGTATGAGAAACTCCTGAAGGGCGTCGGCGGGAGGCAAGTCAGACTTCTTGAGAGACTGCTTAAAAGTCTGGACCAGTCTCTCTGCTTCTCCGTTTGTCTCCGTGCAGGTGTTGAACGCCCCGCTCACGGCTGTCTAACTTGCCCCAAACACCGCCACTTTAGTTACCAGGCAAGCATGTCCCGTCACCCTCCCCGAGATGGTAATAAATCAGCTGTCAGTCATTTAAGGTACTGTGACGGTAACGGCACTCCTAGTACGCCTCGGCCGTGCCCAGGAAACTTGATTCCAGTCATTTCCGATTAATTTGATCCCCAATATCTCCCGATCTAAAGACATGATGTCTCCACGTGGGGTCTCGTTTTAAAGGGCTGCTTCAACCTGACAAGACGATATGTGTTCTGGTGTGCATTCACTAGTGTTAATCTTGCTTGCTGAGAAGTGCACTCCATCGTTTATTACTTTTAAAGCAACTTTCATCTATTTATTTTTATTTGAAGTTATTTTGCTCTGTAATTTGACTAACAATGAAATAATTTTTCTTGATTACTCTTGGGAAAAGAGTATCGAGTTACATGTGAAAGTGAGATCATTGTGCGTATTCTTTGTGATTCATAGTGATCGGTTTTGTGTAGACCTTGGAGTGTGAAAGTACCATAATCCTCATTCGCCTTTTTTAGATTTCTTCTGCTTTTTTGCTGTGGAGTATTGGAAACATTAATATTCATAATGGAGTGCCATGATGAAGCGTCCCATGTTCGGTGCGAACTAACTACTCGTATATTCATGAACTTTACTTTGCAGAACATGTGGTTGTAGAAGTCTATCAAGAAAACAGAAATTGCAAAAGAGAAAAGCGTACAAATGCATTGACTTTGCATGCAATATCTTGTTGGTATTTGGCATTGCAATAGCAGTTGATGAATGGAGTAAACGTTCATCGACCATATGCTATGCCTGTACCAACAAGATAAAGCGCAGTAGGACACATACGTATGAGGGAAATTAGTAAGGGCAAGAAAAGCTGCTGAAACCTCAAACAGCTTTTCGGTCTGATGTATGCGTTAAAGTATGCACAAAAAGAACGCTTGCTCGCGATAAAGCGAACGCTTGTGAAGAAAGCACTTGCTTGTTGTTGAGGTGTACATGTAGAAAGATTGAAAATCACGCTTGCGACTGGTCAGAACTTGGGCATTTGGCGCCATGGCGGATTCGAGTGAAGACGAACTATTGTTGTAAGACAGTGTTTTGCATGAAATCATCCTGGAAAACGCAAAAGAATGGGGGTTCAGAGATAAATTAAAGGAGGCGAGTGGAAGGTGAACGTGACCACTTGTTTCTTTTACTTAAAAGGAGCCATTCACATTTTCAGTCCTACCTGAGAATGAGCGAAGAGACATTCAAGTATATCTTATTAAAAAATAGAATTAAAGATAACCAAGAATTGGTGCAACTGGCAGTTCTTCGCTAATATCTTTCCAAGCACGTTTCACAACGTTGCGATTTGCGTGGTCTTTCCTTCTTTTGTCCCAAAGTGCATGTATTTTAAACACGGCTGTTATCAAAGACTTGACATCCATTTCGGTCCGATTGTCACTGAGACTGAGAGAAAATTCACTCCGCACTACCCAAGTCGTGACCAGACAACAATGGGGGGGGGGGGGGGGGGGGGCACCAGGTACACGCTTGCAAGCGAGAAAGAATTAACTTTTGATTCTTTACGCTTTTCAAGCGTCGCTTGAAATCTCAGACGCGATAAAGCGAGCGTGCTTCTTGTCCGCAGCAAGCAAATTTTTAACAACATTTCAAGCGCTTGTCCCAAAGCGCTCGCTTTTATGGCGAGCAAGCGTTCTCTTTGTGCGTACCTTTAGTGACTGTTCGATATGCACACACTATCTCATCGCATATCAATGGGGAGCAAGAACATTCCAGTTGAATCAGTAACAACAAAAACAGCGGAAACTACAGAGACAACACATTCACCACATACATTTGAAGACTCGACATACACAGAGGCATTAAGTCCCCATTATTGCTACATTCACGCTGTCCAAACCTACACCGCTAATGGTAGATAGCAGTACGAATTCGACAAAAGTCAATCATGCCTCACATCACAGAACTAATGGAGACTCACCATCTACCTCAAAATAGAAAAGAAACCAAAAGAGTCAACCAAAACATCCTTCCTCACCTTTCTTTAAAAAAGCTAATCATTACATCTCTCTGAGACAATAGCACAAAATCTTCAGACCCAGTGACGCTGATACTTGCATCACATCAAACAATCAACAGCTATTCAGATGACTGGATACACGTCTATACAGACGGCTCAGCATTCAAAGGCACAACCAAAGCCGGATATGGAATACTAATACAGTACCCAGATGGAAGTTCCTGTGAGATATCTGCAGCCTGTGGAGAGAAATGCAGCAACTATGATGCAGAAATGATGGCAATTGAAACAGCACTGTACCGTCTCCACACAGTTTTTGACACTCATCTTAGAAAAGCACAGAGTATTGTGATTTTCACTTACTCACTATCAGTCTTGCAAGCGATTGAAAATGACCATCATATGAACCAAGATTTGACTCATATACTGTTTGGCTCCCATCATCTGACAACATTCTGTGGCATCAACCTGGTAATTTAGTGGGTCCCCGGACACTCAAACATACCTTGCCAAACGAGGATCTAGACAGGAACAACCCAACATTCCAACATCATACAACACTTCAAAACAAACCGTTAAAAGCAACAACAAACAAGATTGTATGAACAGATTTGCCCTTGGAAAGACAGGCAGAGCAGTTTTCAAACATATGACCACAACAAAACGGAATGACAATATCAACCACCTACAGAGAAAGAAACAGACCACGATCTTCCGCCTACGAACAGGACATATACAGCTCAACTTCCACTTGAACAGAATAAATCCAGAACTTCCCCCAATGTGTCCCTTGTGTGACTACGCCTATGAGACTGTGGATCATCACCTCTTCCACTGCACAGCCCTAAATGACATCAGAGCTACCCTCTCTATGGAACATTACAGCAACTGCAGCAAACCCTGAACTTATCACTACATGGCATTGGACAGATGGGCGAGAGCCCAGATGTTGCTGGATCGATAACAACAACTGCACAATGTTAATTTGTTAAATGTAGGAATTGCTTCCAAACGTCAGCTTTGGAATTATACCAGTCTTGGACGAGACCGTAGGGATTCAGACACAGGGTGCTGGGTTTGGGAGTTTGAGGTTTCTCTCCCCGAGGCGAGGAGATACAATATTGTGTGTAAATTGTGCCCTCTTGACTCAGGTTCGAGGATCCTATGTCAGAATCTCTGCAAGTTTGAGAAGACGCGAAAAGAATGTTCGGGGTAAATGATCAGGGAGTAGAATACGGCTGCTGTATTTTTCTAAGTCTATAACCTGCTTGTCTACATGTTATCTACAACCCGCTTATGAAGATTCCAACATACCTGCCACTGTACTGTCTACCTACTAAGGTTCTTTCGTCACTTGTCTTGGCCCGATAGAATAGGCTAACTCTAACAATGTCACCTTAGCAGAGACTGTGCCCACCATTTCAAAACTTCACTGTACATTAAAGATGGTTCCAGTAGGGAAAAGGATAGAGGGGGCCCACATCCATTTTGACTCATTGGAGCAGAAGAAGATAGGACTAATGGTAACATCACATAAACACCATTCCACATCATCTTTCACCACCGCCATTATATCTAATATCATCATTGCTCTCAGATCCTTGACATACACATCTGATCTATATATATTTCCTTGAATCTCTATCTGTGACAGTTACACTTTATAATAAGTATGTTTGTAATACACAATTGGACACTATCATATGCACCTTTTTCTATTAATCAGAAGGCGTTAATCTCATATAAATGGGCAAGGGACAAAAACAAAAAAGGGATACTAAATGGACTTTAAAATTTTGATGTTTTAAATTAACCTTGAATCGCCTGACGTTGGTGGCCATCTTGGATTTGACCTTTTCTTATGGAAAAAAGAGTATCCACTCAAAACAATCTTTTAGGGGGATTACAAATGACTGTGGGGTAGACAATTATATCGTATGAAAGAACACATACCAGTGTAAGTATTATGATACTGAGATTGTATGTTATGCCTTTGCTTCCTGTATTATCATGCATTCATCACATGCGAATTCTTAGCATGCAAATGACAACAATAATACACTATAAAATTTCTACAAAGAGTTTGCATGGTTTTTTTTTTTCATAACCTATTTTATGTACCATGCACAGTCATACTGACCTGCCTATGTCTTGGGCAGTTTCTAAAATATTCCAGCTCCATTACTTACCAAGTGTTGCACCAGTAGGCCTGTTGGTATGGACATGCCCTTTTATTCTGTGGTTGAAGCCCATTACTTGCACCTCTACCACCACCATCATCACCACTAACTCTCTAGTCCTAGCATCACTGTCACTTGCCTCAGAAACCTCTTCTGATTTTCCTTTAGAATCATTGCTGTCATTATGTGACTCTCTGCTGGGACATTTCAGTGACCCTCGTTTAGCACTTTTTAACCCTATCCGTACTCCCTGGGGTCATTTTGTACCCCTGGGGTTGTATTCTTCACATTTTAGAATACTTCTAATATGAAGATCTCTTTGATACTTTCAGTATTTCTCCAAAAAAATTATTTTGACAGACTGCTATGCAAAACGTACAGATCGGATTAACGAGTAAGTTTCCTCTTTGGAAGTGGTAGCGTAGAGTTCCCCACGTCGTATATATACGATAGTAAAACAAGACATACAGATAGGGTTAAGGACTCCCGAGCGAGAATTAAGTTCCTGTGTGCTGTTGGCATTGCTGACCACTTATGACGCCACAGTGCCAGAAGGGAGAGTGAGAGAAATTATCGAACTTTCCGAATCAGACTCAGAGTCACTTTGGGTCATGGTATAGTCTAGTTCATTATCTATTGTGAAAACTTTTTCAATGTTGTGAAGATGCTAAAAAAATTCACCTATTAAGGCAAAAACTGGCCCCAAACAGCTTCAACTTCTGTCGAATGGATACCATTCAGGAAAGTTACTTTCAGTTTCCCATGAGCAACGGATTTTGTCAATTTTATACTATATTACAGTGAAATGGCGCTGAGAACGGACCTTAAAATAATGTCCCTATTCGGATGATTCAGATCGTCTGTGGTAGGTTAAGGAGAACATTCCAGGACAACTCAGGTCTTCCGTGTGTTAAGTGTTACAATATTTTCAAAGCAATGTGTTTGTCAGGTTGTAAGATTATCTCACTCTAGTTTTGTATTTGAACTTTTCAGGTACCACGTCTCCTTGAAAGTTTAAAGGAGTACACTTGCTTGCAGATTGCTGCTGCCACTGACCACACAGTGCTGAGAATGGAAGGGTAACTTGAGGCTGTGTTTGACATTCGAGAGATGAAATTTATGATTATCAAGTTTGTCATAATGGAGATTAAATTAGTTTTGTCCTTCCACGATAAATGCAAGACTGATTTAGTATTTTGAAAAGGAGTCGTCTAATCTTTGTGATTTAATGATATTTGTGTCACAAAGCTATGGAATCAGGAGCTCATCAATTTTTGGGCATGTGGAGTTATTGGTGTTATCATAAATCTTGTTCATTTGTCTTGGTTTCAATTAAAATGCTTAAGTACACATCTATCTTAAATAGAAGTCAAAGTATTGGTGATTAAAGGAGGTGGGGATTGGCCTGGTTTCAGAGGTAAAATTAACAAGAAAGTTGCCGCTTAAGTTTGATGACTGCCATAGCTTGTGAGTTCTTGGAAAGTGAAAATTTACATTTTTTGTGCCTTTAATCAACGATTTTCAGTAAAGTCTACACAAAAATTTGTTTTCAAATGTGAGACATCATTGTAAAATTCGGCGCTTGTCGAAACAACAAAATTTTAAAAAACTGGCATTTTTCTGGGTGTCAGGTGATTTTTTAATTTTTTTCTTTTTTTTCACTCAACACCTTTGTGTCCTTTTAAAAAACACATTTCTGTGTTGCCGTTACAGAAAAATGTTGATTAAAGGCACCAAAAAATGTAAATCTCCATAGTTTTGAAGGACGCTCAAGCTTTGGAAGTCACCAAACTTTGGCATCCATTTTCTTGCTAATTTGACCTCTCACACCAGGTGACCCCCACCTTCTTCATTAGCAAAAATATTGACTTTATTTTAGATTATATATATATCGGTATTGCTTTGACCAAATACAGCAAATGCACAAACTTTAAGATGATATTAATAAATGCTCAAAAATTGACAAGCAACTGATTCCACTACGTTGTGACACAAATGGACATTAATTAAATTTTCATCAAAGGTGTTGAGCCAAAAAACAAAAAATTGGAAAAAATTGCCAAATCAGTGGAAAAATGCTGATTTCTTCGATTTCATTATTTTGACGAGCTCATGATTTCACCACAATGCCTCACATTTATGATATATTTAGTTTATTAACTGATTTTGTCCTTGATTTTTTCAGGCTCTGGACAGAATTATTTTTCCTTGTTCAGTTTTAGACCTGGGGTGCATCTATTTAATGCATTACTGTGAAGCTCTAAGTTAATATGTATTGTCATATACCAAAGTGATGGGAATCAATAGAGGAATCTGTTTATATCAATAACAATGACCTATAATCTGTTTGTATTGTATTTTCTGTCAGACAAAAATGAATGAGAAAAAAAAAATTGCGCAACACCTCTTCGAAAATTTCGACTTCCGCGCATTTTCTCAGCTCTACAAGTCCTTATAATCCATAGGAATTTTTCTTATACCAGGCTATGTGTTATTTACCCTTAGATCTAGCCTACAGAGCAACAACAAAACAACGATTTTTGCAAGAATTTCGCGGAGTTTCGATCCATATTGGCGCTCAGAGATTGAGGTCAGGTTTGTTTTCAAGTTTTACTTCCTTTCGACAACTTAAAAAGTAGAAACTATGTTTAAAAAGTGCACATTTGTTTCGGATTTCATTGAGCGGCTCGCAGCGGTCGAATGGATGCAGCGGAAAAAATCAGAGCCGCTGTCAGCGGCCGAATGGACGGAATCAGTTAAGTGTGTTTGATTTTTTAAAATGTCTCTCAAGTTGCTGTTGATTGAATAAACTTTATTATACTCTAAAGGAGACCTGTTTTTGTTTATCCTAAATAGGGGAGCTGTGTTCAGCTTTGGACTGAACCCCCATCATCAACTTGGACAAACACCGTATTTGGAGAGCAGTGCGGTGCCAAAACAGGTAAAACTAGTTGTTTGTTCAGCAGAGGTTCACAGAATGAATCCATCTTAGGCAGCAGTTGTTGTAGAATCAAATAATGTAGGTTGTTAATGACTTTTTATCAAATTTGGACACATTCAGTCCAGTCCATTTATAACAGCCTCTGTTATTACAGGAACTTCGATATAACAGTGATAAATCAAATCCCCATTTTTTTTCTCTCTAAAGTGTAAGTAATATGAAGCTGGCTATAACAGAGTTCAGTTTACACCGACTCAGATATAACAGTGATCTTGCAGCGCCTGAACTTGCTTTTGATCCGTCAAATTAGTAAAATTTGTCTCAACCAAGATGTTTCGCCTGTTTGTATGATCGATGATCGCTTGCCTAAAAACAAACTTTCAAACATGTACAAACCTCCCCCCCCCCCCCCCCCCCCCCATTGTGTTGGGGTCACTGATCGTTTCCGTCTCAGTGGCGACGAAACAACACACTGGAAAAGGATATGCGGTAATCGAATATAAAGTATGCTGAAGGTGTAATTGTACTGGTAGTTTCTCTTGATAACGGTTATAACAGGACTCGCTTATAACAGGGAAAAATCTGCCGGTCCCGTCTGTCCTGTTATATCTGAGGTTGACTGTTTTATACAAGATTGTCAATGAAAAGGTTTACAATACAGTCAAACCCCGTTGTACCGCCTACCTTAGGATGAGCATGAAGTTGGTGGTTCAGCGGGGCTGGCGGTACAACGAGGTTTTCATGTCCTCTGTTAAATACATGAATGTAGCACCAACTGCCCAACATCAAATGAACTTGTTTACTATGCACTAGATAAATAAACGAGTTATCTCCCTTCTATCTATCTCTGGGACTTACACGCGAGTTCTCATTAAATATAAGCCTCATGTGCATTTGCCTGTAAGTTATTGGGCTGATATCTGGCGATTCCAGATATTTTGCCGGGTAGGCGAGATGGCGAGGTTCCTGAAGTTTCTCCACGCAACTTAACAATTTAATTCAATTATTTTAAAATATTGACCCGGGGTTCTCGTGGCCTAGAGGTTAAGGTGTTCGCCTCTCAGTCAAAGGTCCCGGTTTGGAATCCGGGTAGCGACGGAAAAATGTTCTTCTCTGAAATAGTCTCCTTTCACCCCCTTTCTCTCTTGGAATGTTCTATCGTCTGCTTTCATCTCCACTTTCTACCCCCACCCCCTCACCTCCTTTGTATTGAGGTTGCTATTTCACATGGAGGAAAAATATGTTTCAACTCAATGATCTTTGATGAGAGGATTTATTAAAACTGACTTGCTCAGGGCACATATATGCCACACAAGTGGTGAGTGGAAGTTCACCAAAACAATAATAAAGAAGAATTAAGTTTTCAACAAGGAAGAGTGTAATGTACTAATATAATCAAGAGAAATAACTCTAAGAATAATCATACAAAAAGATAATACATACATACTATTAATAATAGATTCAGTTAATTCCCCTTGACCATAATAATGTGATTTTTATTCTAACACTTTGCCCCCCCTCCTCTGGGCTCCTGACTCTTTCTGCAGCCTTTCTGCTTCTACTCCTTGGCTCCTTCTTACTGCTGTCTTTCAGCCACACCCCTGATCTTCAGGTAGGAAAGATCTACACTTATCCTTCTCGGACAAGGGCGAAAAGATCCCTTGGTGGTCTAAAATCGATAAGAGTAGGTTCCGGACGCCACATAGGCAAAATTCAAAATTTCGTTCCAACCGAAAACGTTTAATGTGTCCAGCACCCTCATATGACCTTATGCAGTTGGGTACGCTGTAAAACACTTGCCAAAAAAAAAAATATTGACCAAGGGTGGGGAGGTGAGATGGGCAGGGAAGGAGCAAATTGGTGAAAAGTGTTTGATCTAGACCTAGGCCTAGCTTGTAGAGACTTGTGTGTGAAAGATTGTCAAGCAACCACCGAGTGGATGTGCCGTTCGCTGTTTGTAGCCTAGTGTGTTATTCTGTGTGCGTCTGGCGCCCAGTTCGCTGATGGCACAAAGGGGTAAATTTACATGTATACAGTAGTATAATAAGGACTGTACAACTGAGACAGTTGGCGGACGCCGGTTTAAAGGCATAAATACTATATTTATTTAGGGAACTCTTTTCGTACATTGGCAAAACCTGGTAGTAAGTGCAACTAGCGGTACAACGAAGTTTGACTGTACTTGAAAGTAGAAATACTGTTGTATTTTAATCAAAATTCTTAAATCCTTAGACCCATAAACTGAGATTATGCTAAATTTTTTTAAAGGTCTAAAATGTTTTTATAAGGTTTTAAAGTGTCTCAGAGCTCAAAATCACTGTTTGGAAAGAAAAAAAAGCCTAAAGGGTGAAAAAAAATGACAGGTTGTTATGAGAAAAAGTTCATAAAAACTCACCAAATTACACCTAAGGCTTCTTGTGAATTCATAGTGTGTTCCATGTATTTCATTACACTCCCTTTGGCTTTGTCTAGATGAATCTTAAACCTCTGAAGGGAAAGAGTGTTTCTGGTGTGTGTGTTGGCCGGTTCCACTCAGTTGTGTGGACTCCAGACAGTGTTTTTACAGTTGGGCTAAATGCTGGTCAGCTCGGTGAGTCTAATGTATTGGAAACAAATACAAATCTGCTGCATTTTAGCTGAGCATTCAAGGACAGCAAGTTTCCCATGGAAATTGATGCTTATAGTTTTTTCTTCGGACTTTTATTATTCTAAACTTTTTCTTCATTGTGACAGATGAAGTCGACTTTTTATGTTATTATGCTCCTGACCTATATGTCTGTATGTCTAACCTATCGCAGATCCTTTGCATGCACTGCATCGTGAAATAAAAATGACTTTGGTCAATATTCTTACGGTTTCACTTTAACTGTTTCCTTGACCATTTTTTCCTTGAAGTAAGCATGCTAGGAACTGAGGCATAGTTGGTTATTAACTTGTCCAATGTGCAAAAGTTTGAGGTTCAAATAAATATAAGCGAAATCCAATTGCTTTTTTTCTCCTTTTAGGTTATTTCCTCATAACCTGGTGTACTGTTGAGGTGCCTGGGACATAGCCTCAAGAATGATCTTTTTGATCTGTAGTTGAGCATTATGCGATTTAAAGAACAACAAAGTTTTTCATGATTACTGCAGGGCTGTCAACCTTTCCGATTTTCTCGTAATCATTACTATTTTTTTGCCTCACTATGAAATTCCGATCGTAAGGCGATTTATGACGATTTTTACTGTAAAGAGATTTTTGGCTCTTTTTTTGTTTTACAAGTCTTAATGCAGACCTGTAAATTGTCCGCCAATAGTCGGAGAACAGCCAATCTCTAAATCAACCCCTTGCCCCCCTAAAAAAAAAAGGAACAGCTGGCCCACTCCGCGCGAGTTAGCCAGCCCACAATAATACCGTTCATGAGTAGAAGCATAGAAGCATCGCTGCCACGCTGCTGAGACCCAAGCAGTCTAAAAATAGATTTTATCAATCGGCCAGGTAATTGACATATTTTTGTTCGTTGTAATATATAGTAATTTGAAAATGAGAGCACTATTACTAATTTTTATGGGAAATTACTAATTTTCTCCATGGTCATTACTAAAAACCATGGATGGGTTGGCAGCCCTGTTACTGGATGTTTTCCATAGAATTTAAGCCAAAACTTTGAAAGAGATTTCCTGGACAAGGACACAATTTTCAGAATTTTTTTTTACTGCAGGTCATCAAAAAGGAGAAAAATACCAAAGTCTACTTCGCCAAGTGTCTGGCCTGAGGCACACTGATGTTGGCATTGCCAGAGTGTCGTGTTCAGATGCAGCGACAGTGTGTCTGACCACCAAGGGTGATGTGTTTGTACTTCATGAGTATCAATGCCGGAAAATTGCCTCAAAGTAAGAACAAATTCTCATTTAGTTAATATTACTTATCTGATAGTCTTTGATCCTCTTTTTGGCTTGTTTTCTGATGTAAACTCCCTCTCCCTTTTGAGTGCTGAGTACAAAAACATAATGCAGGGTGACTGCCAAAAAAAAATGTATCTTTTTTGTATATGTGAGGCATTGTGGTGAAATCAGGGGATCGTCATAATAAAATCAAAGAAACCGGCATTCACAAACACATCTCTGTTAGGATTTTTTAAAACTGAAAAACGTTTATTAAAGACACAAAAAGTGTACGTTTTCAGTTTTCAGAAACTCTCAAGCTATGGAAATCACCAAACTTTGACAGCCATTTTTTCGCGAATTTTTACCTTTGAAACCAGACAACCCCCACTCCCTTTTGGGCATTCGGAGTTGATGGTATCATCTTAAGGCCTGTCCATTTTCCTTGTTTTGGGTGAAAATAGTATCCCTCTATGTTGAATAAAAGTCAAGATATGTTTGATTGAAGGAGATGAGGGTCATCTAGTTTCAGAGGTAAAATTAGCGAAAAAATGTCCACCAAAGTTGAGTTATTTCTTTAGCTTGAGAGTCCATGGAAACTGAAAATATACATTTCTTATTCCTTTAATACTGGACAAGATGACGACATGGCTAGGAGCAGCAAGAACAACAAGCACCATTGCTGCAACGCGGGACAGAGTGAAGTGGAGGTCCATGATCGCCCACGCCAGTCGGCAAGGCACCGGATGATGATGATGCCTTTAATCAATTTTTTTTCCCATTAAAATCCACACAGAAATGTGCTCTTTAATGGGCATGAAAGGTGTTTGACCAAAAAACAAAAATTTGATAGAAATTCCCAAACCTGCGGGAAAATGCCAGTTTCTTGACTTTCATTATTTTGACGAGCGCCTGATTTCACCACACTGCCTCACATGTAATTTCTACATCTGTAAACCGATCTTATTAAAAATTGACAGTTAAATAGGAAAACTTTGCTGTGCAAATTTAATGTCAAGATTTTATCATGTACCTAAGCACACTTAAAGCACTAACCCCAAATTTAAAATAAAATAACCTTTTTGGTTATTTTTGAGAGATGACAAATATTGATGAATGAAAGGAACATCAGGTGTGTAAAGGACTTAATTAAGGCCTGTCCTGAAATGTCAATGAGACATCTGACTTTTCAAGTAGGGACCTGAAGCATGAGTTGGTTTGAAGGATGTTATTTCAATGTCTTCTCAGTCAGCATCCACATGTATTATAAAGCTGTGTGGGTAGTACATGGTTGCCCTAGATTTTTGTGTTGTTTTAGCCAATATTCTTGCTACCTATTTCTGTTTTTTAATGCTAGTAATAAACAGGACAGGTTTCTGTGGCTGCTCAGTAAGCTGTCCAAAGATAGGTTCTGCTTTGTCCCAGTTGCAGACTTTTAGAACTACACATTGATAGCAGGGCTGCCTACCATTCCGATTTTGTCGTAATCATTACGATTTTTTAGTCTCACTACGAAATTCCGATCGTAAGGCGATTTATTACGATTTTTACCGTCAGCAGATTTTTGGCGATAAAAAAAATATTTCTGGCTTTTAAAAAAGTTTCACAAGTCTTTGTGCAGACCTGTAAATCGTCCGCCAATAGTCAGAAAACTGCCAATCTCTAAATCAACCCCCCCTAAAAAAGGGGAACAGCTGGCCCACTTCGCGCGAGTTAACCTTGCCCACAATAATACCGTACACGAGTAGAAGCATCGCTGCCACGCTGCTGAGACCCAAGCAGTCTAAAAATAGATTTCATCGATCGGCCGACTCACGGCATGAGACAGTGTTTCTTCACCCCACTCATTTTTCCGTAATTAAGACATATTTTTGTTCATTGTAATATAGTAATTTGAAAATGAGAGCACTATTACTAATTTTTATGGGAGGTTACGAATTTTTTTCATAGTCATTACTAAAAACCATGGAGATGGTTTGGCAGCCCTGTGATAGACATGTTTTTTAATGTTTCTCATTCTGTCTACACTAGAGTATACAATGAAGCTGAGTGAACGTTCCTCTCATTGTCGTTTGCGATCTCACAAAATGCCAGGATAATGTTCCATGTAAAGTTAATCCACATATTATATTTTTCGCTTTTTCACTTTTATTTAAAAGTTTATGTTCTCCTTTCACAAGTCCTGCATAGTTCATGTAAATTAAGATGTGATTCACAGCGTCCCTTTTCGCCCGATTCTGTGACTTTTACTCAGAACTCTGCAGCCAGCCAGAGCTCTTCTGTGAAGTTTTGTTTGCTTTTGAACCAATACTTCTGCCCCCGTCCAACACAGCAAACCATTATGCTGTTGTACTAAATGCTTAATGTCTTGAGATTTATTCTGCGTTGGAATGGTTAATTTCTGTACCTTAGTTTTTGATCTAGACAAGTGTTTTTAGAGTACCCAGTTTGTCCTGTTTCTAGTAACATAGTTATGGCTAAATAGGTCTCTCCAAAGTCTGTGTTATACTGACTACGAATATCATGTCTTTTACCGTTAGAAATCTTAAATCTACGCAGTGAGTAATAGTCAATTTATAAGAGAAGAAAGATGCACATCTGCATGGTTTGACACAATAAACTCAGTGTTGGCTCTTTCTTTACCATTAAATACACAAGAGAAAGGTACTCTGCATTTGTTGATGAAGTATTCTGTGTCTTTGGCAGGCTGTATATACATCTAAGAAAGGTATGCGATTTAACCCCCCCCCCCCCCCCCCCCACAAAACTGTGTAAGTACATGAGTTGAAATAAACTTCCTGTATGGAATACAAACAATGATGACTAATACATTCATTCTTAGTTTTTGTGTCAGAAATATGAATGGGCACTTATGAATGTATAGAAATGAGAACGTTGTCAGTCTTTGCAAATGGTCATAGAAACAGGAATAAAAGCTGGAAGAGTCTAGAGCTGATTCAGTGTCATTGGCAAGTTAGAAATTATTCTGAAAACCCAGTTACTACAAGCTACCCCTGTTCTTCAGTCAACTTACAAAACCTAGAGACTCAACTCTTTTAAGACCTGAGTTTTTTCCACCGTTTCCCGGAGTTTTTTCTACAGTCACCTAAACCTAGTGCACTATGTCTCATTATAACCCCAAAAGCTTGCCTCCAATTCTAAATAGCGGAAACAAAGGCTTAGCCATTACTAGATACTTGGTTCGCGAATAGTTCCAAAAAACAAGCAAAAACTAGCACTAAATAAAACGAAACAGTTGTCACTAGTACTGGACGCTCCCAGCGTCTGATGGGGAACAGGGTTATTACCACCGGATGCTCCCAGCGTCCGATGGGGTTCAAAGAGTTAACGTTTTAAGAAATCTAAGGGATTTCTGGAGTGTAACAGATACTGTTCATGTATTGCATTGTAGATGTTTTATGGCCCTAAAGTCAATTAATACTTCTGCGTAAAGAGACCGCATCAGAAATTTTATAAACTTTTGTGAAAATATGCGGATATTCACAATTGTATTAGACACATAAAGTTGAAATAAAGGAATTAGTCTACTTCTTAGTGTAATGTGTGCTAGATGGGTAAAGGTGCAAAAATACAGCTTTCTATCATCTCCGCAGATATGATCTCTTGTGGTGTCTCCATCTATGTTCATTGTTCCAAAAGTTATACAATTTTTGTCAAGAGGATTTTTAAATAATTTTTTTCATTCACACTTGTCAACAAAAATAAAAAATAAAAAATTTAGTATTCCTGACTACAGTGCGTCTAACAAAATAATAAGACAAGTTACAATGTCCGTTCTCTTTTAAGTCTCAAGAGCAGAAATGCATTCTTTGAGGGCATTAAATGATAATTACCATAAGTAGAAAAATACACCTAAAACTTTAAGTTGAAAAGTGCTAAAAATTAAGTCAGCCCAGCCAGAGTGGTGACAGGGAGCTGATCCGCTCCAACAAAAATTCCACTGCTGGTACGCCATGGACTGTTCTTTGATAACATTGTCTGAGAGCTGCTAGATTTTATACAATCAAAATCTAGCAACATCGGATAGATGATGCCTATATCCTTAAAAATTAATTAAAAAATCACAGAAAATGACGCTCAGTTAAAACTTTCACAAGCTTTCACATGCCTCTGCTAGATGTGTAAGTAAGTTGATTTTGTATTTACGAAGATTTGATGTTAAATTCAAATATAATTGAAAATGAAATCCGAATTGGTAGAAACATGACTTGGAGAATGTAGTCAAATAAAATCAACAATTGTGATCGGAGATCGAGCAAAGTTATAATATCATCTTGCAGGGCTTTAAATTGGAATGTTGTGTGGTGTTATAGCTTTAGCATCTCTAGATCTAGAAATGTCAGGATGTGAAAGACACCACAATCTATAGGAAATGCATTACACAAGCGGGTGGGCTACTGCAGCTGGCGACACAGTGGTGAGCACGGCTGACAGCTGATTAATGACCAATGTGCGTGTGGTCACTGAACTCCAGCACAAAGCAACTAAAGGAGCATTTTTCTGGCTAGTTGAACAGCCTTGAGTACCCATCAGTCACACCTTTATTGGTCCACTCTGGTTTTAGGAGAACTGCAAGACTGGTAGTGTGACAAGTGAACTGTATGTCATAGTTTTAAAGAAGTTTTGGAAAGATCTGGGGAGGAGATAGCTATAAAAGGTATCATGGTTTTAGTAGGATGGAGCAGCACCCCCAAAACAGTATGCTCCACAAAAATTTCCAGAACCGAGACATCAGCAGCAAAACAATTTGCAAATGTCTTTCTCACACCCTCGAACTTGAATCCGTATGTTTTCTCTTTATGGGGTCCCTTAACTCTTTAAACCCTGAGTTTTTTTTCACCGTTTCCCTGAGCTTTTTCTACAGTTACCTAAACCTGGTGCACTATGTCTCATTATAAATCCAAAAGCTTGCCTCCAACTTCAAAATGGCGGAAACAAAGGCTTAATCATTACTTAAAAACTTGGTTCGGGAATAGTTCCAAAAAGCAAGCAAAAACTAGCACTAAATGAAACGAAACATTTGTCACTAACATCGGACGTTCCCAGCGTTTGATGGAGAACAGGGTTATTACCGCCGGACGCTGCCAGCGTCTGATGGGGTTTAAAGAGTTTAGGACAGAGTTTACCAGTAATACAAACAATTGACGAGTAGAAATAGAACATTGCAGATCAGGTTCGCTACACAGACCTGCACTTTCAAAAATGTGTGCATTACTGTTGACGGTTGAAAGGGACACTTGTTGAGCACATCATTTAAATCTATCTTTTTCAATTAAATTTTTTTTTTTATCAAGCTTTGATGTCAAACGTTAGTTTAAAAAACTTTGAATAATTGATGCAAAAGTGTCTAGACATTATAATAAATTTTTCCTCATCAGTGTTTACCTTTTTTTCCCCCAAAAGCCAGTTTTAGAGCTTTTAAAAAAACAAACTTATCATTCCAAAATATTTTGTTTTAATTTGTTTTAAACTTTAACACACCCAGCCTGCAGAGTTGAATTTTAAGACATCAAAAGTATGCTGTCTTATTTTAACTTATGCAATGGTCTTCATCAGGATAAGAGATCAAGAGGAGGGCCATGTGGAACCTGGAGAAGAGTCACAGGAAATAATGTACAAAAAAGTGGAAAGACATGGAATAATATTAAGAGGCTAGCTTAGGATAGGGTATTTATACAAGACTGCGGCATGCTGGCTCACTGAGGTCACAGGCAGGTTGGCGCCGGTCGATTTGGGCTCCCGTTTTTGCGTCATCGCTTCATGTATCGTAACTGACAATTATTAAAAATTCATATTATGCGATCAACGCGAAGTACAAACATGACCTTTCCATGACATGAAGTGAACCTTCGTATTGTGGCTAAGCTTCGTGCATTTGTCTTAAGCTTTTTGAGATTTTACAGGTTGTCTGCCAGGTTTTTGACATTTTTCACTTGCAACCATGATAGGGAAAGGCGGAAGGGGTTTGTTCGTGGCCTATACAGTGATACATGGGGAGAAAGGCATTTATGACTGATGATAAATGGTCTTCATCAGTTCATGTTATGACAACTGTGATGTCTAATGGCATCTCTGGAAAATAGCTCATTTTCCTGTTTCTCAGAAGAATAATGATCTGTTGATCTTTCTTATCTCCCATCTGTCAGAATGACACTCTCCATGTAGTTTCCGTTTACCCCCTCCCGCCAGAATGACACAGTGCACGTCTTTTCATTTCCCCTAATTAAATACACATTTCTGTCCAGTTTTCCAAATCCATGTTTACAACATTGGTTTTTTATGAGAATTTGACACTTGAAGGCATATTTGTTTTATGGAAGAGTGCTGTGTTTTGGATCTAAAATCTGAGTCACTTTTCAAATCAAGTTTGTTGATCAAATTCCTCCACAATACACCTGCTTTTTCTGTATTTATTCTTGTTATCCACTTCCCCATTGTTGCTGGTGGTAAATTTATTGGCATGGTGAACGAATTCTCTTAGTGTAGATTTTGACGGTACTTCCATTTGTTCAGATGAGTGATAATCACTTTCAGTTTATCTCTGTTTCTCAGATGGCAGGATATAGAGCAGGTGTTGGCTGTTGGTGGAACTCTCGACCATAATGCTGGCCTGGATGTCCTGTGGGAAAAGGGTGGACGAGACCTTCTGGTCATGATGAGGAATCAAGGAGGTCAGGTGAGCAGTCTTTTGAGAATGTTTGTATGCATGCTAATGTTGACAACTATAAATTTATTATTAACCCCTTGACAGCGCTGTAAATGTATTTCATATGTCTCGGTAATCCACGGTCCAGTGCACTGTACGTGTATCTCATAAGGTAGTGAATACCTGTATTTTTTTCATTGCTATCTCAGCTTCTATCAAGTTTTGATTAAAGAGACTGGCATCCCTTAGAAGCTTATTGTTTTACCTATGAGATGTCTTTAGGCCATTCCCAAAGGGGGGACGTATCTCGTTCAAGCATAGTAGAATTGTAAATGGGCTGATTCATATCATGCTCATAACTGTGCCTGATCTACAGCAGGGAACTGCTGATTTTTCTTTCCTGATCCTTACTATTGTCATTTTCCTCTACTTCTTTTGTATGTTTGTCACTCCCTTGTGACCTGCTATTTTGGGGTGCCTTGATAGTCGAAGCAGACCTTGTGCTGTTGAAGCTAGAGAGGTGAGCAGTCTAAGTCTGATTCCCTGTAAAGACTTCTCTGTTGACACCGACCCCTTGGCGCTCATATGACCTTATGCAGTTGCGAGCGCCGTAAAACCATCTACTATAATAAAAAAAAAAATTAAATATCTATCTAAATGAGAGGCATCATGGTGAAATCAGGTGCCCATCAAAATAATGAAATCAAAGAAATCAGCATCTTTTTGGCTCATATTTTTTTTCTAATTTTGTTTTCTCGGCTCAACGCCTTTTACGTCCATTTTAAAACACATTTTTGTGTGGATTTTACTGAAAAACACTGGTGAAAGGCACAAAAAATGTAAATCTTCAGTTTCCAAGGACTCTCAAGTTATGGAAGTTACTTTACTTTGACGGCCATTTTCTCGCTAATTTTACTCTGACCTCCTTCAATCGCAATACAGGGTGGTCCAAAAAAACCCAACTGTACAACATTTTTCCTGAATATCTCACACAAAATTTGTACTAGAATGTTGTAATTTGGAAAAGACAATATTCATTCAAAAAGAATTTGTTTGACATAAAATTCACAAAGAAGAAACTTATTTTCGAAAACGGAAAGGGCTTTTTAAAATCCACCTATAAATGCGAAATGTAAATGTACAGATCTTGAAAAGAAAGTCATGGAATTTTGGTTTTTTTTTTCCCTTTCCTTTTATTTTAAAAATGTAATCTTTCCATCCTTGTAACCTTTGAACAACATTTCTTTTCTCGTACATAGTTAAAAAATTTTTTTTTGAATTCTGAAATTCCGAAAAACAAACGGTCTATATGTCCTCCTTTTGACTCGACACATTTTAACTCGTCGTTCCTAATGTTCACTGGAGACCGAACACAAGGATCCTCTCAGCCATGAGTACTCAAAGCCACTTAATACACTGCACAGCTAACAGTATGAAGCTGTGTCTAGAGACAATAGGGGGGGGGGGGTGAGGTTGCCGAAATAGCATTTGTGGAGTAAACATAACCTGAAAGGTGTATATGGGCTTTGCCAAGGAACCAAATATGTCTGAGAGGAAATGTTTACATTTGTCAAGATGATCGAGCAATCATGAACGCATTGCTATCCGCTGATAGCTTCGTGAACGGGAAAATGATACTGTCGTAGATAAAGATCTTCCTTGAGAATGGGGACCGTTGAGAAATAGGAACATTATTGCTGCAGACATGGTCTACAGACAGACGTGTCATGGGGCTCATCTACTGAATTCTGCACCCTGATAACGTTAAAAAGGGTACGAACGATGTGTGTTTGACTTGAAGTGGTTGTTTTGTCTGGGAATTTTAAGTTTTGATTCTTTACTGGTCCAAACTGATGGACCATTTGTACCCTTGACATCAAAGAAAGCCTTAAGAGCACTTTAACATTATCTCCGTTCCTTGTGCGAAACTTATGAAATGAGTTGGTGGTGAGGAAATGTTCAATACGAAAAGCTCTCTGCTCTCTACTAATCTTAACCATGATCTCAGCAGGAAAAGGAAACTTGAGAAAAACTATCTGCAAACTTCTGTTGGCCTGTTAGACTGCTGTAGTTTGCAATATGGCGCAATCGTTGGGCTTTTTAGTGGTTGGCTTGATGTGAACTAGTGCGTAATGCTACAAAAAATGGGGACATAGCTGAAAATGGGTTGGGTTTTTTTACTCGCTATGTAGAGCAAAACTATTTTGTGGATATATCTAAAATCAATATCAAGCAAATTCCTTTTGGCTTCCAAATGTTGTGTACAAATTTGAAGCGCAAAACTTCAGTGTAGAGGAAAATATTTACAAAAGAAGCTGTGCTGTTTTTAAAAAAAAATCACCCTGTATTTCGACGTCTATTCAACATAGATGATTTTTTTTTTCACTGAAAGGCAGGCAAATGAACAGGCTTTGAGATGATCCCAATAACTCCATATGCCCAAAAATTGACGAGTGCCTGATTTCACCACATCGTAACACAAATATAGACTATTTGATGGAAAGCGCGTACTCTTGACGGATAGAACAAAGCTAGGAATATTTTCTTTCTAATGCACATCATGTGAGACAGTCAGAGCCAGAGTGTTCAGTCTCAGTACTTTCAAGTTGTTTAAATCGTTACAGCTTGTTCTATGCAGGTCTTGTCAATGGATGAAATTATTTCATTTTTTTTTTCTCTTTCAATTGATATACTGTTTGACGTGAAGGGTGTGCTTTGTGACCGTTAAAACAAAGTGAGGTGCATTGTCTTTCTTACACACATCCTGCAAGACAGAGCCAACATGTTGAACCGAAGCGTTTTCTCAACATCAGTGTGACCAGGTTGGTTTTTTTTTTAGTAAGGTTTTACGGAGCTCGCAACTGTATTAGGTCATATGAGCGCCAAGGGATGTATGACAACAAAGAAATCTAAGCGGGGAATCAGGCTTACTCTGCTCACCTCTCTAGCCGTAACAGCACAAAATCTGCTTCGACTTTCAAGGCACCCCGAAAATAACAGTTCACAAGAGAGTGACAAACATACAAAAGAAGTAGAGGAATATTGATGACAGTAGGTAGCGTAAACACGGCCTCGCGGGCACTCGCAGCCTTCCGACCGCGTGGTATCGGTAAAATCGGGTTAATTCCGATCGCTCTTTCTTTGCTCTTTCGCTATAAAACACCACATGCCGTACACCTTGTAAAAGTTCAGCTTTTCCTTGTTACAATGGTGTAAGTTGTTTATATGTCCGGTTATTAGGAGCCGGAGAATCGCCGACGAAAGCGAAGCCCCTCACGGTCAGAATGCGAGGTCGGCCGGTTGAAAAATTGACACGCGTGCATTCAAATGCTTCGCGGAACGAGGGATGATTAAATACCGTCTTTTCATTGGCGGAGAACTGTAGAGCTTTAAATGGGCTTTCCCGTGATATAAGATTAGCCTTTGGCGTCTTTATAGAAAGCTTTTAAAAATACCGTCAAAATGTTTAAAGATCACTTTTTACACAAAATATGTAAAATACCGGCTTATAAAAAAAATTAATTAAAAGATCAGTTTATTTCCTATTAGAATAAAGTAATTAAATTGGAATTATTTAACATCAATCCTTCCGCGAGACTCATAAAGCATGTGACCCCGCACGCGGGGTACACTACAGTATAGAGCCGACTCGCTCGCCGCGGGGGCCGGTGCGACGCCGGCCGGGTCAACGCTCGGTGTTTTTGTCGAAATAACGACAGATATCGTGTTTGAGGTGATAAAGTACTGATTTGTAAATATCTCACAGTCTTGAAAAAAATTATGCTCCATATATTTGTTATAGTGATTGTACTCTGTTAATGTGGAGATGTTTAGTGCACTTGTTACTTTTTTATTGTCTGTCAAACATGGGGGCAACCAGTGACTGACTTTAACAAATTTGATCAAATTTTAAACAACTAGGGCCTACAATTTTCTTAAAAATTGACGGAGAGGTTAAAGAATGGTACCAAAATGCTCAATGGATATAGGCCTTTCAAATGAAACAGATAAATTTGGCATACAGCTAGTTTTAAAATTTAGTTTCTGGTACCTAATGATAGTAAGGATGAGGAAAGAAAAAGCAGCAGTTCCCCCTATGTTGTTCCGGCACAGTATGAGCATGACATTGATAAATCAGCCCATTTACAATTCTGCTGTGCATAAGAAAATGTTAATATCCCCCCTCTGGGAATGGCCCAAAGTCACTTCAGTCAGTAGCACTGCCCTGGAGAGGCTGTTCAGATTGTTTACATCGTTATGGCCTATGCATATCTTGTCCATGGATGTATCCACTTTTTCATTTCTCTTTTTACTTTACTGATAGAAAAGTTTTACCAATCTGTCTCTTTACATAAGCGAACAAATGTTGTTTAGAGACTATGTATTGTACTGTGAAATTGTCCCAAGGAGATTAAAAGTAATGGAGGATGCCCTGTGGGCGGCACGGCACGCCTGATAGGAGCCCTCTCTCGCTGCGGAACCGTGGGCTACCTGCGCTGCACGAATGCTTGACTCACGCACTGAAATCTAGATAAGAAAGAAGGTTTTATTCCGAGGTCCTTTTGATTAGGCAAGTCAATTAGTAAAAATGCCTTGCACCTGTGTTGTATTTAAGTGTAAGAACCGATATGATGCTACAGTGGACCGAAGTTTTCACAGTTAAGTTGTTTTCCTTTTTAAACATTTGGATGAAAGTGTTTTTATGCCCCCCAGCAACACAATTTAGATCATTAATATTCATAAGAGGTGGCTCCGGCGCTACCTGCCAAGGCCAACCCAGGCTGAAAGGGATACATCACCCCAGCAGTGTATATATATAATTATTATGTGTGTGTATGTGTATATTATACATTTTAATTAAAGATATTGCTTTCCATTGTGTGTGCAAATTAGATGCTACTGTTGTCTAAATGTAGATATCTAGAGGCTCCATTAGAATATGAAATCAATACTCAACTACAATAATGATGAATATTTTCTATGTTAAAGAAACACCAAACCATATCAGATGAGGGGAGAGGGTACGGTGGGGTGGAAGAGTTTGAGTCTTGTTAGATAAAACTATACTCGGTTTAATTCTATTGTTGTAGTCTTCACCTAAGATCCCACAATCTATAATTCCGGTTCACTTAAGATTCTGCTGTTAAAAAATAAACCAAACAAAGCAACAACAAATTTTACTACACAAGAGTCATCACTTAGATAAATTATCCCCCTCTGGAGTGTAATAAGGGGCTAAAAACGCTACTCTCCATGTCATACTTTACTGAACAAAAACCCCCCCAACCTTTCAAAGGTCATCCACACTCATGCACGCGATCACACCTCCAAAGTTGCTGTTATCTCTTTTAAAAAAAATATTTGAAATCAATGTGCTCTCCACTTTGTGAAAACCAGGAAAAAAATTTAAAATTATTGTTATCAATAATATTATTATTTACAGACCAAGACATACTGTTAGTAATCAGATAAAACTGGCATCGACCCTCTTTAGTGTTCGCAATTCCTTACACATAAAGTTAGTTATGGCACACGCCTAGAATCATGCAATCGTGTAATACCGGATACCGGTATCTTAAATTCAGTTTAAAAGTATATTTTTATCCATTTCTTATAATTAAATATTTTAGCATCTTGAAAGATTATCCCTATACGTGTAATTTGGTATGTTTGATAATTTTATGTTACTCGGACAGGTTTTCTTCTTATTTTACACATCTTTTTGATTTTTAAACTAGATTATCACATAAAACTCTTAAAGAATTGAACAGTCCGTATCACACACAGAATTTATTGTTTTTTTTCTCCCTGTC